AGAGGAAGGCGTTTGGGACGGAATGTTGTTGCTCGATAGGGCGTTATAGGGGTACCCTCCTTGGAAAAGGCTGTCCGAGGTCACGGAATTCTGTTAAGCCAGTCGTATAAATCCTACATCTGTATAGCGATTTATCGTGCCAACTGCCTTTAAAGCAGTCATCCTATTGTTGTTCAGAGTGTAGAACTTGGAAAATTCTGGTTAGAAAGTGTCTTTCGTCAAACAGCAATTGCTGATGGTTGTGGAATTTGACTCCTGAATAAGTACTTGACGACAAACCACGCGATTGAATATTGCGGATAAGGCATTCAGTTACAAACCTGTGGTCGCTAAATGATGCTACAGAGAAAAAACGATAAAATCAGTGGTGAACACCCTAAGTAAGGACCTGGCAATCTCTCTGGACGAGTTTTCCTGACCTGCTCGTTTTACGCCAGCTCAGCGATGCCCTGCCAAGCACAGCTCACTAATTGTTTTTTCGCGTCATCTGATGATGATAACATCTAGCAGCAAAAAAAAACGAAAAACATGGTGTTAAAACTGAACTGAAGGTGGTAGAAAACAGCCCTTGAGTTTTGGGGGCGGGACAACTAGAGAGGTGTCAAAACTGCCCCTTATGGGACCACAGCGCCTTCGTTAATTACTGTGAAACCGCGAAAATGGGATATTGTATATACTAAGGACCACCTACTCGTATAAGGAAAAACTTGCTCGAGCGCGGGTACTGTCTTTAAATATGGTTACAGTAGGCTTATTGCAGATTTATTTAGTGGACAATCCATAACATATAATTATTACAGACACCGAGTGTGACTTGTTTCGCTGTCGATTCATCTCCTTCGACGAATGTCACCGCACTGGAGATGCTCACCGGATCTTCGCAACGTGTCTATCCCTACGAGAGAACTGCCGAGTTCGCTAAAGAGATCAAACGACTCGCTAGCCCATCAGAAAGCGTGAGATGCAGATCTGTGAGTCCAATTTGTTTTGAACAGTTCAAATGATCCTTCATTTGCATCTTCTCCTTAATTTTCTTTGCCCATTTCATCCACTTGCAAGTTCGTGCTCCAAAGACTGTTTTCGTCTTTGTTGACCCTTTGTCTACAAAAACCTAGCGAAAACCTGCTCACTAGGGGACTCGAACTCGAATGCTGAGAAAAAGGCTGAATAAGCAGATGGTTCGCAGAGCTCCCATGTGAAAGAATCAGGAAGCGTTTGCAATGGAAACAGTTTCTCATTACCTTTCATCCATTGACGATTGCAGGCGGAGCCTCATGCGCTCAGGCCTCCTCGAGGAACTTCTGTGGCGCAGTTCGGCGAGGGGAGGGGGGGGAGCATTTTGCACTCTAGCTGCTTCCCCAGTTCCGGTTTACGAGTTTCACTCTGGCAAATCTTGTGAACTCTTATGAAGCTAGAGTGGGCTCGTGGAGTCACCATGATTTGTCAAAACTAGTAAGTTCTGAATAAATAGCTCACTAGATGGATCGTCTCGTCGATAGGAAGTAAAAAAGTGCAAAATGCCCCCTTGTCGCCGAACTGCCCCCAGAAGCTGCTCGGAAACCAGTAGCTTTGTTTGAGCTGTTTGTTTCTTGTAAAACACTGAAAGCGATGGCCGTCCCACCATGAGGAGATGTCGCCTTAGAAACATTGACGGCTGAGCCCTTGACCGTAAACCTCCCGCCCCGCCACCGCGCTTTCCCGGTTGTCCGCCCTTCCTTTCTGACTTGAATAACGGTATCACGGCCCGAACTTCCTCATCCATTACCACTCCCAATCCTCATTCTACCTGCCGCCTTTAAAAATTCTTCCACCTCCCGTAAACGTGAAAAACTGTAGTAAGTGCAGGAAAATCATTAACTGGGAGAATTTCCTTGTGGTTCGCAGAAATTCTTTTGAAGCCGGGTACGAGCACCATCTACCATATAAGACCTTCCTCCCCAGCGACCATGTGCGTCCTCCGATGGGGTGTTACCGAGGATCTTGTGCCTCGCTTTCTCTTTCCCACATAAGAGCGAAGAATGGAGAAGTGAAGGAGACATAATGATTAAGTGTCCCAAGTTCCAGGTTTTTGCCCAGGTGGCTCGAACGGATTGTTCTAGTCACCTTGGACTACAGCCTAAATTCTGCTTCTGCGATAGCAGCAAATTCGCAAACGCGAGCACGTTAAAGGACGAAAGTTTTGAAGTTTTCAAGTGTAATACTCCTTTTAGCCACGATTCTCTCGCGAACGCGTACATGCTGCTGCTGGTATTGAGATCCGCGAGGGCGTTTACAGTACTCCAGCGGCGTTACATTCGGAAGTTGCTCTTCAGCGAGACGCACTTGTTGAACCACTGAACGTTAACAAAATCAACGAGGAAAAGGTCAGTGAGTCATTACTAGCTCACCGCAGGGTAAAAACAGTATACCCAATCGAAGAACTTCTTCAGGTTGTGCTGCAAAAGAAAACAACAGTAACAAGTACTACTGAGACAACTACCCCGACAACAGCTACCACTACACCATCTACCACGACATCAACTACGACGACCTCTACATCTTCAACGACCACCACAACTTCACCAGTCACTCAGCGTCGAACGACTACGACGCCAACCTCGACGACTACGACGGTCCCCTCAACGACTACGAAACCACCCTCAACAACTACGACGCCACCTTCGACAACTACGCAGCCTTCGTCAACCACGCAGCCCTCGACGAAATTCAGCAAGCGGTAAGTAAACCTTTTATTCCACTAAGTACTACTAACTAGTTGCTAAATATGTACGTCAGGACTCGTCGACCTACCAGCCTGGTTCCTTTGACGGAAGCAACTACAAGGACAACCAGCATTCGCACTACAACCACCACTGCATCCACGTACGTGGTTTATACATTCGTCCATATTAATACAAACAGCTGTGTAGTACTGTTGCAAGAAGTACACCGTGGTAAATGCGGTTGCTACAGCGTCCAACCGCTTAGGTCCAGCGATACATCGAACCAATATGTTTTACTTAACTTCGCCTAAAGAGGCTTTCAAGGGGAGTTTGAAGAATGAGTTAGGCCTAGGAAGAAGAACGCCGAAAATGCGTATGCAACGAAAAATCATCTCTAAATAAGTCCATGCAGGCCCAAACTGAAGCTTCGATTTCTAAGGCTGCGTTCATTCTTTGCGGCAGCGTACCTATTCATTGCGGATAGTGTCGGGCGGCTGAGCCGCGCTGCACTGTGACGCGACAGCGGCTGCGGCTCGGTGACGGCGAATCAGCTGATTTCGATGGAATTCGGCTGCGAATTCCCACTTTTCTGCTCTCAAGCTTCGAAAGTCTAAGATGTGTTATTTTGAACAATTTTATAATAAATTGTACTGGCTCTAATTTCCTTTATTTTTATGTCTATTATTATGCTCTTTTCCTTATTCTTTTCCATATTTTGCCTTATTTCAGGCATTTATTCAGAGGGCTTGCATTCTTTCAGATTCATTTAGAGCCAGTGCAATATAAAATTGCTTCAAAATAACTCACCTTC